AAATCAAGCGACCACAGAAAGTTATACGTAAAAGACTGCTACACGCTCGGAATCGTTTATACGATTTTTTTCGCGACGTTAGATCTCTTTCTCGTCCGATCATCGTTTCGCTCGTGGCTACACGGCAGCTCGGACGTTTTACGGCTATTTCAAGATTTCTGGAATGCGATCCAATTTACGATAACGATCCTTACCCCGATGCATGTTGCAGCAAGCACCCGACTGCCAAGAAGAGTGAAGACAACTGGCGCGCGTTCATATGCCGTCCACGCAATCGCTACCGACAGGCTTCAGGGATCATTCAAGATCCCCAATGATTCGGTCTTCGTTCGATTTCTGTGCTTGTCTCGTAGCCAATTTTTCCGCGAACGTACCTGAACATTCTTTACGATTATTGGATTTTTTTGAGGAATAATTTTAACCCTCGGAAGGTGGGTCCATTGGAAAACCAAATACCGAAACTGTATATTATTTCATCAAGGTATTTCATCAAAAGTTTTAGCCTGCGTTTTAGCGCAGATTTAGTCCTGGATTAGTGACCCGTGTTCGTCGATCGAGGGTTAACCCATTTAATCGTGAATTCATTAATTGCGTTTATATTAAACTTGAAGAAATTCAACGAAATATACAAACTATTATTGGTATTGATATTTAACATTTTGACTGCTGCGTCACCCAAATATGGGTGACACGTGCATTGCAAATAGGCTGGATTATTTAAACACAGTTAGAAAATTTTGTAGAAAATTAATATTTGTAGTATAATTTAAAACAAGACCAACAACTTCTATTAACTGAACGGAGATATTTTCGACGATTTATAACTTAGAGAACGAAATAAAACCTGTCTGGCTACGTACGGCCGTTTTCACTGTGACAGTCAACGTGTTAAGAATTTTTTCCTCATCTTTCACTGAGCAGTAATGGTGTAAATTTTTTGAGAATTGTTACGAATGTAAATGAAAGGGTACAGATCCTTGACTTTCATAGAAACGAACATTATAGAAGTACAGTTTGTTGTTGATTCACATATTACGTATTCCTAATTCAAGAAGATATTTAAATATCAGTAGAATGAATACTTCCGTAAGTGCTACCAAAAAACTGTTTAGTAACTCGCATTCAGCGTAGAAAAACCTATAAGAACCAACTACTGCTTGTTACAACACAAAGAAAAAGTTAAAATTTGTTGACCAGTGATTATTAAATACCGTTATTATTAAAGTTGTAAACAATTGCGATTAATAGTAAAACTTAACAAAAATTGTACAAAGAAGTTGTGAATAGTATTTATATTCCACAACGAAGAGCATGTATAACGGAATCGAATTTCAACGAACAGCTTCCTGTTTTGATGGAGAATCACGCCTGAGAGCGGAAATTCGGGCTTAATTACGAGTTACTCGATGACTTCGCGACGATAATCGATCTTAATTAGGTGCCGTCGGTGAAAGTAATTGAAACCTTGCTCGTGTTTCCTGTGTCGAAACGGCGGTGGACTTTTGATCGTGCAATTTTGATGAAAACAGCACAAGAATAAAGACGAGTTAATGAATATAGATTTACAAGTCGTACCTGTTTCCTCGAAAATAAATTTGTTTATGCTTTCCATATTTAACGATATCGAATACTGAAAACTAATTAATTATTCTTTTATTATATAATGAAATTATTTATCTTTCTCACTTTCAACCCTATAAGCGAAACATCGATGTTCGCTATTTGTCACCGAAGGATTAACTTAAAAAGTGATTTGGAAGAACTTCTCTTAGAATACATATATATATATATATATATATATATATATATATATATCACAGGATGTAGTCCAGATTCACAATAATAAAACAAAACATAGATAAGTCGTACTAATAAACACGTTAATTGGTGTAATAAAATTTTCTGTCGAGATACCGTAATAAAAAATGGATGTAGAAAACTGTGGTCCTCGAGGCTTGGTACACCCACAACTTTTTAAATGGAACCTTTACTTCCCGCCTTTTTTTCTTCGTTCTCGAACCCCCGATCCCGTGGACTTTGATGGAACGAGCCGAACGCACCACCGAGTCGGGGCTTTCGCCCCTTATCTGCCTCGTTCGTTCGTAAATAAATTTGCTTGTCGCGAGGGAACGCGGCTCGATTAATCAGAAACCGTAGGTACCCTCCGCGTCACACCCTTAATTGCAAAAACGGTGCTGCATGCCCTGAGAGGGCCATTAATAGCGGCGACACTCTCATGCGACGATAAAGTTCAGAAGAAAGTGCTTTGAAGTCGAACGTATTACGATACCTTCACATCGTCCTGGCTAATTTCGGTAAAAAAATGTTCCGAAACGAACAAGAGAAAATATTATAAAATTGCTTTAACTAGAAGCATTAATTTAATTATTAACTTACGTTACACGTTTGCCACATTAGTCGCACGAACAGACGATGGAAAGAAATCTGGCGGAAGTTCACATAAATTCGTGAAACTGGTAATATATATATATCACGACAAATTCTTTGTTGTATACTCAGTATGTTTAAAAAAAAGAGATTTTGTACTCGTAGGAAATTGTTACGACTATCGTATCTATGATAAACGTATTACAAAAATTGTAATCCATTCACCGTTTCCCGGCACTTAATCTGTAATTACATTCTAGATAGTTATAATAGTGAAAGACTTACAAAGAGAAAAGTGTTTATCTTCTATATAGTTTTGGAAAAAGTGAGACCCATCCATCAGTGTGTCAGAAATGACAATGTTTCCTACAAATGACGAAGCTTTACGCGGAAGAGAAAGAGCTGCTTGAGATTTACGACAACGTTTACTGACAAAAAAAAACTTCTTACAATAGCTGAGTTTACATACAATAATTCTTGCATTTTTTTGTGAAAGGAGATGGGAAAGAGGATTGTATGTATATATATATATATATACGCTCGGTTCGCGAACTACAAAGAATGACATATCGAATATCATCGACAGCTTCGCTTCTCTTCGATAATGCGGAAGCGAGGTCGGAGGTTCTCGAAGAGGCATCGACGCGATGTTAAATATAAAATACAAACTTAAATACGACAAACAACCGACAATGGTGGGGGCTTTAATCGGCTCCGTGGGAGCTCTCGCGCAATATAAAAATTACGCAGATATCACAATCCAGAATAAATTTACACGCGGTGCCGTGTGCTAACGTATATATAATAATAATAATTATAAACCAATCGCCACCCCAAACGCGTCGAGAAAGACTAGAATGATTAAGAATGTATCGACGATCGAAAACCTTACGGACGTACACATGCCGTGAGAACGATTACACGATAATACACATGTTATTAGACAATATAATTACGATGATAGGATGCTAATGAAGGAGGATCTTTCTTTTTTGTTCTTCTTTTTTTTTTTTGCGTTTTGATTGACACGATGCGTCGTGATAATGCGACTTTATGTACAATGCTCCGTGATTAGGAAATGTCGCGATGTATATATATAAGATAGTGAAAATTGATACGATACCATTATTGATCGCTTCCACGATGGGACGCGATCGAGACATTCGCGATGAGCTGCACGATCGATCGTTCGTTAACCGTGGTTTCTTATTAAAAGCACATAATTTTCATTGGACTGCAAACACGTCTAATTTGAAATTTCGCAATTTTTATTTCTTAACCGACGAAAGATCAATTTAAACCACTAAATCGATGAACTTGTTATTTGTAACGTATCGATTCTATACCGTTTAATAATCTCGTGAAACAATGGAAGAAATATATTCAATAACAACTTCTTTGAATCACCTTGGAATTAAAATTCACACCAATTTCTTTTTAAACCAATTTTTTTTACACCAATGAACTAAATACTGATGTTGCTCAAGAAACACCGATACGAACGAACGTTTGATGACCGGCGCATTAATTGAAAACGCTAGATGCGACAATAATACTACACGAAATACTTAGACATTTCTTTACTTTTTTTTTAGTCCGCCATCCTTTACACAGATTACTGTATCCTTTTATTTGCTTTTGTTATCATGTCTTTTTCCTGTTTCGTATAAAGCGACTTCGTACGTTTCTCGATACCAAATGCTCGCACGCGCGCGCACACACACTGTTTCAACGCTTCCTTCGATTCACGTGTCACATGACAGACTGTTTTCCAGTTTTCGCGAATATCGCGCGGTCGAATGATTAAATATTAGCACTTTCGGAAATCTTGGGACGCACCTGTTCAAGGAAATTAATTTGCAAAAACATTCGAAAACCCGAGGACAGTGTTATTGTCGAAGCCGCCTTGAAACACAATACCCGGGAGGTCCACGAGAATCGTCAATAAGCTTGCTTACACTTAACGAATCCTTTGTTTTCAACGTGTTCTTCGCGGTCTCGGCGAGCAAGTAATAAATGGACGGATACTGATTTCATTTTCACTTAAGAGATATGCAAATTCACTTCCACATCTCTAAAATTATCCCCCTAAATACTTCAAATTTTTCGTATTCTACCAAATTAATGTCATCGAAGCGTCATCTAATTAACAGTCTTTCCTTTTACTCATTTATCCCCCATTCTTTCAACTCGCCTCCATCGACAAACACACATACACACACAGTTCACACAAAGAAAACACTATCGGACGAAAACCAGTCAGCTGAGAAAATACAATCAGCCCTGTCTACAACATCATACTGTATATCGTAAAAAAAATCAAATACATACCGAACCACACTCACTCGCACATTCAACGATCTCCAGCTCCAAGTGTCTCCAAAAATCGTTCGAAAATGTCAATTTTCTCGAAGGCAGTTAGCAAAATTGAGTTCTTACTTCACTTCAGTTACGCCTTCTCTACCGAAGATACTAGTTTTCTCGTTCCTGTTCGACAGATGCACAAGGCGATCACGTAGATTGACTGTCTGGGAAACACTGTCTCGCCTAAGAGGTCAAACCGATCACCGGCGATAACGACCGAAAATTCTGCACGGGCATTAGGAGCTCTTTCAGTCGGTACACTCGGACGCGAAACTCTCGAGATCGACGTAATGACCGTTCATGTTGTCCTCGAGCAACTGCGCCAGATCCCTCCTGAGGGTCTGAAATTCCGGCCTGCGGTCCGGATCGGCCTGCCAGCATCGGGATATCACCCTGAACAGCTCGGTTCGGCAGTGCGAGGGCCTCTCCAGCCGATAACCGTTCTGCACGTTCCGCATCACTTCGCGCGCCGTCATGTCCGGGTACGGTGTCGAACCTGCGGACACAAGACCGAACATATTTTTTTTTTTTTGTTTGCTTTTGTTCCGTCACCAAAAGGATAGATGTAAAACGACATTAGGGAGGGGTATCGTCCAGGGGACGAGGTTGTGGCTCTTGCAGGGAGAAGGTCGAAAAATATATTTTTCGAAGCTGTCGAATCTTGGTCATCGATTACCGGCGGGACGCTTGTACAACAGAGGTGTTGAGTTTCAGATATATGTCCCTGTTATGGTGAAATTCTGGGTGGTATTAATGATGCGGTCCTCGACAGGAAAGTTCCAGAATTATATTCACGTTAAAAGGTTCCATCGAACTGTTTATCTAACGTGATGCAACGTTTTCAGCATTGTTAAGCAATTTTCAGGGTATTTTAATGTTTTTTAAACTCTCACGTTTAAATTCGTTTTGTACAATATTATTTTTACAGATTAAGCGGTACATGGTGTTAATAAAAATGCAGGACATTTTTGCAGGTTGTGTTCTCCATCGCTTTTAGGCACGCTTTTTAATTGTTTCACGGTCTGGTTTCGATTCATTTAATTTTATTTCGATCGTTAATTTCACTAGGTTATCGATCGGATACGTGTACCAGCAGGAAATCGACCGCGTAGTATGTATAAATCAATCGCGCCAGTCGTATTCCTCGCGTATTTTCAATAATTAAGAAATCGCAAACAAGGTCTCGAATGCGATTTCGTAATTCTTCATTTTCGTCTTAGTTTTGTGTCTTGAGTCCACCCTGTGTAAAAGTGTCCCACATTTTTACTAACACCCTATATATTGAAATATTGTCAAATATAATTAACATTTTTATATTAAACACGTCAATCGCTGTGGTTGCTCCAAAATTAGTCCTGATAATAAGTCAAATTACTGGATAACTCGATATTCCGGAAATACTAATTAAGGAATTCCAGAAAATCTCTTTGCTTTTGAAAACGAAAAATAGAATGCTTTTGTAACACATTTGGAGTAAGATTTTGTTGTTGTATGTCTCAAATTTTTTAATCGGATCCTACTACTACAAAATTGCATTTCTTTAAAACAATTGCAAACTAAATGGTTAACAAATATTTCTTTTTAACTGAAATAATTTTTATTAGGTATAATACTCTTATGTCTCCATTATAAACTCCCATAAAGCTCATTTGGATCAGCTTGTCAGTTCAAGAGTTACGATTTATTGAAGAAAGGTGGATACTATATTTCAAATAGCTGCAGAATCAAGAGTTTGACAAATTTTCAAAAATCCTTCGAGATACATTTATATAGGGCGAGTCACTAAGGACTACTATCTAAAATAACTCGTTACCTATTGGTTGTATCAAAAAACATTTTAATGAATTACGTAGCATTTTAAGGGACGTTTCGGAAGGATACATTTTGATATTTTTATATCTTATTTTTGTGAGATATCAAGGTGACCTTGAGTGTTTTCAAGGTCAATGCATCTTTTTTTTAATACTACGTTATTGTTGACAGAAGGACGAATTCAGCGACCTACAGCATGATGGTATTAAAAAAAAGTAACCTTGATATCTCAACAAAATTAAGACATAACAAAATTCAAATTGTATCCATCTGATGCATCCTTTAAAATTCTACGTAATTCGTTAAAACGATTTCTGATACAACCAATAGGTAACAAGTTATTTTAGATAGCAGCTCTTATTAACTCACACCGAATACAACTAAAGACGACAACATATCCAAATGTCAACATAATCCGAAATGTTTCTCCAAAAAGTGTCCAATTTCGGGTAGAATACTCTTAATTGCAAGAATGCTTTTACATTTCTTGGCGATATATTATGAAAGGAGACAATAAAAAGAAAGTTTCTATATAAAAAAATAAAAGAAAACGCACCTAGAGTGACGATCTCCCACATCAAGATCCCGAAGCTCCACACGTCAGTCTTGGTGGTGAAGAGGGAGTAAATTAAGGACTCGGGTGCCATCCACCTGATCGGCAGGGCGTTCCTCCCGTGTCTGGTCTCGATCACCTCGCCGTCCTCGTTCGCGAATCTGGACATGCCAAAGTCCGCGATCTTGCAGAGCTTGTTGTGGTCCACCAACACGTTCCTCGCAGCCAGGTCCCGATGGATGATCTGGCGAAATCGAGAGCGCAAGGTTGTTGATCGTGATTCTTACTTTTTTCTTGCTTATTTTTTTTTTTTGCCGATTTTTACGTTCGACAGGGACCGCAGGTGGACGTCCTGTTACGCAACCGCATCACGCGGTGTCGCGTGACAGGACGCGCCGCGACGGGACCGAGAAACTGTATATCCTTCTCGGGCAGGTTCCTCGCGGGAGCAAGAAACTCGACCTTCGGACACCGGCCGAGTGCTTCTTCGCACGGCGAATTTACGAGACGAACTTTACGAGCCGCGGATTCCGCGGTTCGTCACTCCGTAACACGCCGTTCCCGCGGCGTCTTTATTACTTGTTATTATTTATCACGGCGTGTGATTTACGCCTAAGTATTGTTAACCGGCCACGGAAGCTGAAATCGTGGTATTTTACGTTCAACGGAGGCGAGCACGACAGGATTCTCGGGATCGAAGAACCGTGGATTTCGCGTCGCGAGGTAGCCGTTTACAGGGACCTCGACGGTTTAAAATTGTTTTATCGACGTCAAACCATGGATTTCTGAATAGATGCTAGCGCTTAAATCGATATAGGAGCATTTTACGCATTTTTAACAAAGACTGGTTCCAGGAACATCCACGAACAAATGCGTAAGGACACGGAGAAAAAAGCTTTCTTTCGAGTTTTCTGACCCGTTTAGATGCGACACACCTACAACGACGAAGCTACTTGTTAGCTCCATGGGAAACATCGACAGTTTTGTTATGATTTAGCCAACAGAAAATAACCTCCCATATTCGCGCTCTGTTTCGTAGTTACATCCTGTCAGAATCGTCGGTCAGAAAATGCAATCTATTACTAAACAGCGAATGTTTGTGCATTTATGGCGTCCCCTTACTTACAAAACGTAGCAAAATAAACATTCCAAAAAATTTAATATTATATATGCATTATTATTAACATATTAAAACCCCTAGTATAGAAAAGAAATTTCTATGCAATTTTGTTTTTTCTATGTTAGTGTCAAAAATTATAAATTTGCATAAACATCCGCTGTCTATCTATTACGCTCCCTTGTTACTTCTGTTTGTTTTTAATCCTTTGCACTCAATTGTTCTCTCTGAAGGGACAAAATGTATGGGGAATTAGGAATAAATTATAACTTGTTCTATCATCCTAACTGCGTTTCATTACGTGAAGTCATGAAACTCCAATAGGCAGTCGCGCTGAATACTTCGTGACGCAACAGGTTATATGTACATAAATTTTAACTGTTGCTTCATAGGGAAGTGACATTGAAAATTGCGGTTACATCGGGTTTAATTACTGTACGATACGAAAATGCTTTTCGTTTGTCCTCATTGAATTGGTAGATACGATCTTCACGGTACGGTCAACACTTCGAGCCTCACGGCGGTAGTGTTGTCCGTACCACGCGTCGAAGTCACCCAAGACTGGGCTGCCTGTAGTGCTCCTACCGTCGCGCATTCAAGTCACCCGAACCGAGTGACGTGCATTGCCACGCCACGCGTCGAAGTCTCTCGAGCAAAATTACACGCGGATCGAAATTACTCTAATAATTTTTCTTTAAATGACTGCAGTATCGATGCAAAAGTTATTCACTATAATTTACAATTCAATTTTTGAACTGACAAGCTTTTCAGTCTAAATATTAATAAATACACTATCTGATTCTAAATTCAAAAATCCCCTTTTCTAAAGTGGATGTTCCACGTTTCTAGACTTACAAGCCCCTGTTTCGTTCAGAGATGTACGCGAATACTCTATTTAGTTTTCTGTACCAGGTTATATATTAGAAACAAGCGTCCCGAAGCTATAAATAAATCGCTTCATTTATAATGAATCGCCCTGTATTCGTTCGGCATTAAAAACGAGCATTCCTAAAACTATTTTAATCGAAATTCCTGCAGGCCAGTGGCACCAGAAACAATTCATCATACTTTCGACCGGTAACAACGTAATCAACGGGAACATGTTCCTAACTGAAACGGGTGTCGGTGAAAGAGAATAAAGAAAAAACAACAAAAAAATGTTAATTTGCCCGCGTGTAAGCCGATCGGAAAATCGGAGAGACCGAACTCGTTCGCGGGCCGATGCTAATGAACCGCGCAGCTCAATGTCAAGGCGAACTGGCTATACGCATAAGTCTTCGCCGTTTCTTTAATGGCTTCATCTTCTAGATTTATTGCGGCGAGATACCGAGGCATCGCGGTCGGATAACGAAAAACGCGAACGCCTATCCATTTGTCGTTTTTTTTTCGTTCTCCCTCTATCTCTCTCTCTCTCTCTCTCTCTCTCTCTCTCTCTTTCTCTTTCTCTCGATGCGCTCATGTTTTTGCGCTGTGCTTCGTCGTCAGCGTTCTCGGGCCGCAAGAAAAATACGTTTTTACGCCTCGAATCCGCTGGTTTTCTGCTCGCACGAACACGTTAACGCGCTCGATACACTGTGGCGCACGAGGAAAAAGCGGTACGTTTCCTTCGAGGAGAAAATAAATCGACGTTACGATAAATGTTAATTAAGCATTTTGTGGTTATCCTTAAGCTTTCCTTTCCTACATTTTGTATAATATAACATCGTATAATCGAGACAAAATATTTTGTATCGCGCGAATATTGTACAAATTAACGATTGTCATTCGTCGATCCGTCTGCAAGAAATAGTCATCGTGGAAGATCGTTGATAAATATAGGATGAAGAATAAAAAAAAAATCCTTGGCTGTTACATGAACGACGTTTTTATCATTTTCGACGTTACTAGAAGGCTCTGTCCACATCCTGAAATCATCTCTTTAAATATTGTTTCTAGAGGAGGACGTCCGCGTCAATTTGTACCGACCGTTTCCTTGGCTCTACTGATAACTACACATTTTCGTGTACGTAACAGCAGTACGTAATCGCTGTATATAGCCGAGGAAACGAGTATTTATATGCACGTGAATTCTAAGTGAGTGTTACACGATTTTTCTGCAAACAGTAGACATACGAATTAAATGAGAACCATGTATTTCAAAGTTACAAGTCCAATTTAATATTTTCATGTGGAAAAAACTCTAGCGCGTTCATTTCAAGCTCTACTATCAAATTTGCATAAACATCCGCTGTCTATCTATTACGCTCCCTTGTTACTTCTGTTTATTTTTAACCCTTTACACTCAATTGTATATTAATAAATTAATAAATACATTAATAATAAGTACATTAATAAATCGTAGTTAAAATGTGCATTTAATTATTCTGCGCGGTATCTAAGACAAGTGTACGTGTATCACCGGTTCCTCTTGAATAACAAAACCGAATCGATCCGTACTTCATTTTCCCGATCCGATCTCATTCGTGTATCAGCCGCGGCTTCCAGTTTCAATTAACCGATACAATGTGTATCGGCCTCGAGAGATATTTCTGTGAAGTCGTATATAATCTTCGATTGAAATCGGCATCCTCGTCCGGTTGCTTCTCAACTCGTCCTTCCAACGACCAGTACAGGATACCGATTCCAATCGAGGTTTCGCTCCTGTTGCTCAACGCCCCGAGCGTCTTCGCTACATACATCTCCGCGCGAATCATAACCGGTCCACGATGATCCGTAACTATTCGACACTTTTAATTCTGTAAACGGCTGCAGCCAGCTACCGATCACCCAGGATCATTGAAACGTAATACGAGAACCGCGTTCTGGCGTACAGGGTGTACCTTGGAATACTCGATCGAACGTTACTTCGCCCGGAGATGGATCGAATTCTAGTGTATGTATAGAATGGAATTCTTATGATCCAGTTGCAGATGAGATTATCATTTCTTATACTAACGTCTGGAGAAAGAGAACCCAGACGGGATTAGGAGATGACTCGGACAAAACTCAATCCTGTCAGTCGAATTATGGAAATGAAGATGATATGTATCTGGATGTTGGGATTCTTTTATACTATAAACTACTGCAGCCAACGTTATCTTGGAGGTTGTGGACAAGCGTGTGTATAAAGGAAAATTCCTTCTATAATCTAATAATATGCGGCTTCATATTTTATAATTTCTTACGTCTTATGTTTAACTTTACTTCCAATATATACCAGTCACTATATTTGTGCTCTACATCTATATGTATGAATTATAAAACGCAGTAGGTTTTTTAACTCTCCATTGACATACCTCTTTTATTAAAAGTAGTTGTCAATTTGACCGAGGGCAATATTCAATTAGCTGTGAAATTGAATCGCAGAAAATTCTGAAATGAACATTGAACATAGTATATTATATTTTCATGGTTGCAAATCAACATTGAAAGTTCCAATGTGTTTAAAAAATTTTGTTGAAAAAAAATCTAAAGAAGAAAGTTTTTTAGGATACCTGATAGTACTGTTACATGGCGCCAGTAGTACAATTTTCAATGAGTCTCAAAGATGTTTTATTTCAACGAAAACTCTGGATCAATTGTACTCAGCGTGACAACGAAGGGTTAAATACAGCTTAGTTTAATATGAACTATTCTAGTATTTCTTATACTAAGAAACATAGAGTATTATAAGAAGATCAAAAGTTTAAAAATAAATTTCCAATTCTTTTACAACACGTGTATCCAAACTTTCGAGCAGTAGTATCTCCAAGATAGTTGCAAATTGATTTTAACTTTAAGTACCGACTCCCAGCTTCGAATAGACGTCGGTTCAGTGAAAATAAGTCTCGACATTTTTGCAGCCAGCCTAGTGGATACCTCGCGGTTTCCCTTCCGATGAGTAATTATTGTCCACTAACTTCGGAAAATTAGCTTTCGCGCGGGAATTCCTCGAAACGATTACGCGGACGTTGGTAATTCGACGATTCGAAGAAAATAATTACGGTAGGTTTTATTTGGTGTTCGTCCTTGCGTAAACGGTGAGAAATTCTGCTGTTCGAAGGATCACCTTCGCCGCGTATTACTTCAATTATTACTTTCTTACGGGAATAAACGTTCCGCGTGTGTGCACGTTGTATTACCATTAGTGGCCCTCTCTCTTTCTCTTGGTTTACGAGAATTAATGAGACTTTTTTCTTTCATGAAAACGGTGATAACTCATACTTATAAGATTTCACGTCTCCGCCAGGTTTTTCGGTGTTAAAGAAATATCTGGAGGAAGCTGAATATAAATTTCTTTTTGAATACATGCATAACCTTAAGGTAACAACTGGAAAGACGAACAATTTATCGAGTTGACTGTCGTCCGGCCCGAGCAGTTAAGTGCTAGAGGCAACACTAAAAGAAACTCCATTAAACACACGACGGAGTTGCATAAAAATGTTTATTTTGCATTTTTCAGACGAACCACGCGCGAAAGAACAGAAAAGTTATAATCGTGACACGCTAGTAATAGTCGCGAACGCCCCATCCTCTCTTCGTATTATCGCATGGCTGCGAAATTTCTGAAATCGACCAAAAACTTGATTGTCCCGTTATGATAAACGTTCCGTTCGATTCCATAGCTATAATGAGACTGTTTCTACGACGAAATTCAAAATTTCGAAAAACTCTGTCACATACTATAAGTTTATTCGCGACATAAACTATAAATATTATGTTATTGGTTTGACAAAAAATCACCGAAAGTGGTAGGAGTGATAATAAAAAGAATTGTCAGTATGGTATATCAAGTTTTCAACAGTAACATTTATCAGGTACTAAAGTCACACTACGATTCTTACAATACGATTTTTTGGAATTGGTCGAATATAAAATTGTTCTTTCAGCACTCAGAGAACAACTATTGTGACACTAAAGGTTTATTTATTTATATATATTCTGTACGTGAAAGTACTGAAACACTTTGTGTTTTCTTAACTAGTTATTCTTTTTGCAACAAATAAATTCCATTCTCGACACGTATTAATGATGGTAGGCTACCAGAAAGCAAGTTCCTTACAGAAGCTGTGCCAAAAAGGTTCCGTTACGGACCCGCTACACGTTCTTTCGAACATCAACAAAAGGCACGGTTTAATTGACACAAATGTTTTCGCGTGTTCCCGCTAACACAGATTTATTGGCTTTTACAGGACAGCCTCGCAGGGTGGTCGAGCAACTGTTCTTAAATTCATCGTGAACGACACTTTTGCTCACTGACACGAATTCGCCTGGCAAAATAATCCCACGTCTCGAGCCCGTCTTTCTGCCAATCAGATAATATTTGAGATCCAAATACCGTTGACAACCTGTTTGTCAAACCGTCTTCTCTCTTTCGCGCTCGACCTTCGATCGTGATCACACGATTTCAAAACACGATGGGATCCCGAGAGAATCGTTCCTCCTCTATTCGGTGCTTGTGAAATTGGAAATTCGAGAAACTTCGTGCACGTGTGAAATGTTGAAATCTTAAAAATCTTGAAACTTTTCTTTCGGTTGCTTTATTTTAAACAAACTTTATAAACGGTTTTTACATATTCGTTATGGGCGAGGGACGCCAGTCATTATCGATTTATCTTCTTTTCGCCGTCTGTTCATTAATCAGGATTTATGAGTTGATACAGATTTAAGAATCAAGAACAGGTTTGATTTGCAGCGAAGTAGCAACCTTTCTTTTTTATTTCGGATGGTGATAAATAGAAGACGAACGTTCCGTTCTTGCTCGATCGCCAAGATCGATCGAGCACGCGACGACGTGAAATCGTAATAAATTTTGAGGCCTCACTGAGAGGTCCCATGAAACTGATCGAAATACAGACAGTGTCTCGATAAGCTTGGGTAAACTAAGGCGTTTTGATATAATATCAAACTTCCCCAGAATTATGGGCACGAGAAACTACAGTAATACATTACTATTATTTATTCTTTTCACTTCACTTTTATCTGACAATAATAATTATATCAATATTCAATAACTACGCCTTACCATTCTGAAATGTAGGTATTAATGAAGTAGCAGAAATTAGGGGATCGGTGAAAAAATGGTACAAGTGAATTTTCTTCTAACAATAAGATAACTACAGGAAACTGTACATAAAAAAGAATTCTATTATCCCTAGAAATTTCTGAAGACGAAAAAGGGTACAAGTGTTTTCACTTGATAGTAAACAGATTTTTCTATTAAATTGTATCTTTACCCATAGTTTTCTCAGCTTAAAGATTCTATCACGTGAACCACTTTTCCTCCGAGCCCCCTCTCAAATGTTATTATTAAACTGAATTTCTAATTTCCGATCGCAAACAGTTAAATTTAATTTTTCGAACCTTGTACAAGACGATAATAAAAAAATTAATATTCTTTATACCGCACAAAATATAAATATTAAAAATCATTATAAGAGAAAGCATGCTTACCTTCTTCGATGCCAGATACTCCATGCCCCTCGCCACGCAGTATCCAAAAACAGTGAGATCCCTGGACGTAAGGGCTGCCGAGTCCTCGCTGAAATTGTAGAAATCCTGCCTGGTACGATGATCACGCAGATAGGTCAACAATTTCCCGTACATCACGTACTCGAGTATAAGGTAATGAGGCTCTGAAAATAACCAACGGGTCGCATAATTAATTTTCCACAAACCAGGCCCGTAAAGTACCGTGAAATTATTGGTCCGAACAATATTATAACCGTGGGCCAAGTAGAGGAGCGTGCAGAGGATTAGAGGACCTCATGGCGAGAACATGAAGGGGTCTGGTACTGTAGGGAGGCCCTTAAAGTAATTTAACCGGAGCACTTTCGGGCCCCCGTGGGTAGTATCCGGCTGATTGTAACTTATGGGCCCACTTTTGCTGGCTCCGCGAGCTCGTAACTTTCATATTAGGCTAGCATTACAGCCCTCTAATAACTTCGGTTTGTTAACCGACCCCGTTTCTTTTTCTTCCGGACGTTCGCTTCTGGACCCGGCGGTCCTTACAGCCGCTCATAATATTTACATGTAAGGAGACGTACATATAAACGATTACGGAACGTCAATATTTCTCCGGGCGAATGCTGATTCAGGCAATAAATTCCTCTCGGACAGGCGAATGTGTCTCTGAATATCTTGATAAGTCAGCAACGCCACATGAAAGATGACAGTAATATATCGATGATCGTAAATACGACGACACTAATCAATCAGAAATGACACGGTCTGTTGCATTTCGTTCTGAGTGCATACCCAGTGACAGAGAAAGTAAGGGAATTGAGAAATCTGGTAATGAAATTTGGAATCATTGGAATATCCAAAAGAATGATATCTAAGGGGGTTCCAAACCACCTACGACTTCTGAGACTTTGGTAAAGATAGGGGGTACCAGCTACCTGAGAAATCCCAGGGGTCCCAGAAAACCCATGAGTCCCAGGGGTCTTGAGTATTTAGAGAGTTCCAGGGGTCCACAGATTCACGGGGTTCCTAGGGATCTCGGAAGTTCTTGAGGTTCACAAGATTTCGTGTATGTTGAGGGTCTCTCGCGATGGTCCTCCAATTTTAGGAATCTCGGGGGTCTTATAGATTTCGGAGGTTTTGGGGTGTTCGTGGTGTAGACAGATCCAAATACCGCTCATGTCCCCTGGATCTTGAATATTTCCAAGTTTTGGGGGCTATTTTAGGATCCAAAAGCATCCCAAGGGTCTTGGTGTCTCAGGAATCAAAGGTTCGAAGGTCTCGAGGATCAGGGGGGTCTCAGAGGTTTGTGAAGTCCGGGAGATCTCGAAGGTCTTGGAAACCACTCTAGGATCTTGTGGGTCCAGGAGATCTCGAAGAGTTCGGGACCACTGAGATCTCGAGGATCCTGAGAGTCTGAGATTCTCGGTGGACTTGATGATCCAAGTGGTCTCGGGGATATCTTTGAGGTCTTTTCCAATTTTTCTATCCAGATCCTGTCTGTTGAATATTTCGATCCAATTAATTCAAGCTACATTCCATAGAGTTCTTTGAGTCTATGGTCACCTGGACTGACATTCCACGAATCTGACATCAATTTTCTTGGGTTATATGAATCTATCTTCGTCTACAATCTTGGACTCTCAATGTCTAAACCTTGCATCTTATGAGTTCGACGTTTCTTTATTTCGATTTCTTACGTGTAGGATTTGCTGTACAAAGTCAGGCTTTAGTATTTTCTATTATTTCAACCTAAAATCTTCCGTATGTGTATTCCACATAGAATTCACAGATTGCACTGTCCCTATTATCAATCTTCATGAATACAATTTAATATAACTGTACAAAACGTATATCCACAAAGGCATCCAGACTTCCACGCTTATTGACTTTGTCTCGAAACATATCTCAGCGACCACTTAACCGTCAACGAATTAATTTCTCAGAGACGTCAAGGAATGCCAAGGAAATTAATATTTTGCACCTGACCACGCAGAATGCGAAAGACCGAGCAGAAATACGACTGCATACACCGCAAATGAACGATGCGTCCCCACGTACAATCGCGTCGTTGAAATTTGTCACCGATAACCGGTGGCCCTCGTATAATGATCGCCACGCGGGATAGTTTATAGCGAGAGGAAGAGGCTGCAATACGCGCCGCGGCGTCGCTGGATCAAAAGATACGGCAAAGAGTCGTCTCTGAATGTTGCCCTTAATTCATACGCAGCTGAAGCGTCTTTGGAATCTTCTCCCCGCGAATAAAGAAACAGGGGCCTCGATTAGACCGCGAAACAGAAATACAAAAAACAGGAAAGGGGGGAGGGGCGAGATGAGGAAAGCGGCGTGGGTCCAAAGTACCGCTGAAGAATCGTGGAAGATTTTTCATAGCGTGCAACGAATCAATTTTTTTGCTATATTCGAGGAACGAAACGGTCAAACGAGCGTCGACCGATCATCTTGACGCTCCTGTACATTAACGCGCGGATAAACCGTCAACGGAAACCCCACGCTACTCCCCAAAATCTTAAATCCACGCGTATTTTTCTGTCGGCAATTATTTCTTTTAGGATTTGTCCTGTCTCGTATAATTAGATTATGAATATTCATGGGCTCTAAAAGGTCTCTTAATCTTTCGCCTTTGATAATAACGACACCGCTCCTCGTTCGGATTACCACAGTATTTCATGCGACAGCTGCATTCAAAACTGCGACCGCAGATCTGTAATAAATTGCCAACGTAGAGATAATTGCACGATTAATCGGGATTACTCAATTTTAATAAATTCACCGGATTATTATTAAAATCTTTCATATTTTTTTTTCATTCGTTCCCTTCTATTTCACTGACCGATAGAATTTGTAACGAAACGAACCGCTCCTTCCCGTTATTTCTACGGTGGCTGTTTGTATCGTGATTCGCGTTTCATGAAACACCCTGTATGTCCTTGGCCTTCGACAAGGATCGGAATTTTTATTTCTTGTCGAGAGTCGTTAGGAAGGGCGCGAGAGGGCACCCTTTGACGAGAGTCGGGCGTCAAGGGACGAAAACGTCGCTCGGGTAGGAATTCGAACGCGCCCACCAACACCGAAACGATAAATACGGGGTGGGGCGCCGGAGGGGTGAGGGAGAAGAGGGGGACCAAGAGAAATTCAGATGCCGTAAATCTTACGAGGAGGTCCCCGCGGCCGTGTTTTTTCTTCTATGCAAGCGGAACGGAGTCGAAGGTCCTTCAGGAAGACGCGCGGCCAAAAGGAGAGTGCGTCCTTCACCGGCACTTAATCATCCTCGACGATTATTGGAATCATCCTGTCCAGACCGAATTTTGTTCACGTCCGTTGTAAGTATAAAGGCTTTTATTTCGAAAAAATATGAAACGTTTTGTCAAGATTTTTGGAGACAACGTAGTAGGTATAATTCGATAACTGGTTGCTGGTGAAAAAAAAGAAGCTTGTTTTGTGGCTGTCGTAAATAGATGTTTCATTACTTTTTAATATACTGGATGAAATCTGGTCGGTAATTATTGTTTACAGAATTCATTAAGTTCGAACTGACTGAAAAAGTGATGAAATTCGAGTGTATATTTGGTATAATAAAAATTTTATTATTCAGTTATATTATGTTTCGGTGACATTTATGGCGTAGGTGCAACAGTGGTCAAAGAAAACTTTAACCCTTTGCATCGACATTTGTCAATTTCCACGTTTTACCTATATACAGGGGAAAATCGAGTGCAACGTCTTAAAATTTATGTCTCTTTACCTACGTTATCCCTGTATTCGATTATAATACGTAATTGGTTCTGTTCCCCTACCACAAACATTTCATGCGCAACAATTCCACAAAAAAATAAGAACATTGTAGTGGTTAGTTCAGAAACTGCAGTCATAAAGGTTCCTATCCGAAAAACTGGATTTCCCTAACAATATTCAGCGAAAGGAAAGACAAGATCTCCTCCAACTATCCCGGGAACTGAGACCGATTTAACAGGGTCCCTTGCGAACAAATCACGAGGTTTTTCTAAACGCTCCGAAAAAGAGACTGTTCCACGAAGAAGGGATTAAATTTCATGTTATTGGCTAGACGAGCTCGCGACGCATTAGCATACAATCGCGAAAAAGGGTAGCGCACGCATAAATATCGGTGGAAGCCGCCGGTTCGACGTCAAATCCAGATCGACCAGGAGGCCCGATCGTATCGGTGTACACCGATGTGTTCTCCTTCTCCCTCTCCACCCCTCAGAATCCCATAGGAACGATCATTTTGCCGACTTAATAGACGTATTGTGCCATGTGGATCGTCGTCGTGGGGACGCGTATGGAAATTTATACGATCAGAGCGACGATACCGACGAGCCACGAACGAAAGACGTATAATGGGGCCTCCCCACCCCCCTGCCGCCCCTTCGAGCCAGGCACGACTAAAACTTCGGATTGTCTCGTTGCAGTTTTGATGTCTCAAGCACAGATTTGTCGTTAATGGCAAACTGTGTCCCTATGATGGAACGTGGAATATTAGGTATATTACTATGTATGGCGATGTCTAATCTCGAGACAATGGAGAAACGATTACTAGTTCGGAAGATTCCTTTCGGATTTTACGATTTCACTGCAGTAATAGCGAAAAATTTTAGTCAGAAAATTATTATAGGGCATTGATTTGTAGTTTAGACGTTTCTTTATGCTGTAGACTAGGAATACTAACAGAGAATTGTGAAATAAATCTTTTTTTGGGCTCTGATTTGTCATTAATCAACTGTGAATTTGATCATCATAGTAGACACCATTGGTTAAAATGTGACATAATAGAAGATTTAATGAAGTTCAATGTACTTTCGATCGGTATTGGAACTTGACAGTACCTTGAATGGTGTTAACAAACTTCTGTTCGACTTCGGTCCTTATATTGTACACCTCAGAAATATAAAATGATCTTGAAATTTTCTATTACTGTATTTAAAAAGAAGCAGTATTTCACTACAAGGAAAATATACATTTGTGCACATGAAAGTTCCATTATTCTTCCATGGCCGTTCAGTTAAACTGTATCAGATTAAAAGTTTCAGATGATTTTATAGTTTTGAAAGGCAGTGTATATAATCCATAAATATCTGTATTCCCATGAATGTCGGCAGGTTAGTTACTAATAATATTATTTCTACGAAGAAGGCTTCAAACAGTCAGCTGGCTAATCTTGTATTTTCTGAGAAAATGTTGGTATATTTGAAATTTTGTACGAAGTACTTCTATATTCTATTTTCTCAATACGTTGTTTTTTGAAAATACAAGTGAAAATTCGAAATGAATCGATAAATTTTATGTTTTGAAATCCGAAGAAAACATTGCCACGCTTATCAATCCGACAGTCCGCAGCTGAGTCATCTTTAATTATATTGTTCCGTGCAATTTCGATCGTCCCAAGCTGATACGTAGGAACGATAATTGAGGACACGGAAACAACCTGTCGATTTATTGATTTAACGTTTTATCGTAGTAAATTGCGAACCACACTAAACGAGAATATAATTATTTAACCATCTACGTCTGATATAATCACGTAACCATCTATTAGACAGTAATTAACCAGAAAACGATTACCAATGGAGGGAGTCATAACTAAAAGTACATTTAAATTCCATTTACAGTGAGAAAAGTTTTCTATTGTGGATTTATAAAACTATCCTTCTTACTTTACATTCCAACAATATACATAAGTCGAAGTAACAACGAACGATACGCGATATCTACGTGAATTGGAATGTGCTGATGTTTGCACAAATGTGGTGATTAATCCAGAAGACAGAATTGTTAAAACATTAACAGAGTATTTCTTGATTGATATACCAAAATCGAATAAAACTTTTATACAACGAAATAAAATTCCTCCTTACAAGGTGTTTTACGTGTTTCATCATGTAAATGGGTATTCATTCAACTATTTCGACATCGACTGTTTAGTTTTCAACTGCGTAGAACTCGTTAATCTGTCAGTTTTGTCTTCGCGATTCCCATTATCTAGGCTCGTTACTCAATCAGGATGATCGCACGTAAGCAGCGATATCCTCCGAAGAAACCATCGATCGATCCTCCTTTTGTCCGTGAAACAATACCCGCACGCACGTGCAAAAATGATTACCGATTCCCGATCACCGGTGCAGTGCTTGACACCAAAAGAAAAATGTCCGTGTCGCTGAGTCAATGACAAAGAATGCTTCCCTTGCAATCCCCCTAATGATGACTTCAATATGCATTACGACGCGGTTTAACGACGATAGGATCTGCGAGACGCGGCCGTCGAAAACACAGAATCGTAAATAAATTAAAGATGCATCAGCTTGTCAGGGGAGATAAGCTCAATTTGAGAAGCAATTGCATTTGAAACCAGTTATCGTCGCGTGTCTTCATGGGCACACGGAATGAGAATATTATTATATACGGTTGGCTCTTCTAGGAACGAACCTGTGTCAAGGTATTATATTTACGTCTCTTTACTTTTAGACAATTCTTGGAGGTATAATACCCACCATAAAATAAAAAAGAAATAGTACTTACAGAATGTAGGTAGGATTACTGTAACCCTTTGAATTGATTATACATATATTAGGTGTGGCAATAAGTAACCCAGCATTTCTTGACGAAATCAATGTTGATTTCTATAGAAGTCAAAAATCTACACTGCGTGGCATAACGATACAACCACTCCAAAGATTTCAATGCTTATGTATTGTGCTTGAAATAAAAACGAACCACTTTTTTTTAGGGAATGTAATTTATCCTTTTCTGGAGAAACATTATTTCTCAACACGATTGCAGACATGGCATACTTGGTTCATTTTTAGTTTAACTACAATATATAAAAATTGATAATTTTAAGGTGGTTTTATAATTATACCAGGCAGTGTATACTGCAAAATTTATATTCACAATGATATTTCGTCATTATTCATCTTTTTTACTCAATAAAAGGTCGCAAAGATATTTTTTACTTAAACTATATCGCTTCATAAGTTACAGAAGTAATAGATTACTTATTGATACGACAAATATATTGAATGAAATGGCAGAATTCCACGGTTTTAAAATTTTAGAGTGGTCGCTGTTGAATATCTCACGCAAAGTTTGAAGAGGAGTCTTTTCAAGAGGATGAGAAGTGGCTATCCAAGCGCATTCGATGTCACCTCTTAAACAAACGAACCCTCTTTTTATACCTCATTACTCACTCACCGTACGACGTGATCGAAGGGATCCCAGCAAAATAGCCGGCAGTTAAGAGGCTGCCAGTTTTTATAAAGTTTTACGTCGTCGATGCTAGTATATGCAAGGTCGAACTCGAGTGATTCGTCTGTTCAGGTGTAACGCAAAGTGTCAGACGGGAGCGTAAAAAAGGTGAGTGGATTTTCGTGTACTGGCAGCGAATTAATATACTGGGTGCATATCGTTTTCGACAACGATATCATAATCTGGAACAATACATACTTGAATACTTTTTATATCAGTATAGTTCGTCCAATTACACGTGGATCCGTATCAAAAGTACCTATCGAAAGTGGAAAGGTATTTAATCTAGGTCTGGAAGCACATCTACTACTTCCATGATCCTATAAACAATAGATTTTCTATAAAACATTTTCCCCAAACTCCCGACCTTCTTGGTCTATTTCCTTGAAACGTTCCTGTAGATATCAACAAGTGCAAATAGTGATTTAGATGGAACGAGTATACAAACATTAGGGCACATTAGAGCACAAAACACAGAGGATTAATTTTCAAATTCATGAAAAACCGTGTTGAAGCTTACCTTGCTCGGTACAACAGCCGAGAAGCGTCACAACGTTCGGATGGCTACCAAGTTGCTGCATGATCTCGAGCTCTCGAACGAGATCTTCCTTCTCCCGATCGGAAGCACCCTCTTTGACTGTTTTGACGGCGACTAAACGAGTCGTTCCTTGATGACCGGTTAAGTCGTCAGCTTCAGCCTTCCAGACCTGGATGATAGAAATTGAGACGTAAATGCGACCGCCTAATATGATTTTAACTATCTCCTCCGTTTGTTGCCTGCACGAGGAGCTATTTATGGCTTGAGATGATTTTTGAATATAGTAGCATTTTTCGCGTCAAAAATTATGCGATAACCTGGTATTATACATGACACGTGTCGAGTGAATTATTCAATTTTCCCGAAGTCACCAGTGTCGATAAAGATAATAATATTCCACGTCTTCTTACGCAAGAAGTAACTGAACAACTGTGGTATCTATGGTCAACAATCGATTGCGTAATTTCTGGAATTTCATTTACTAAGAACTATGCGTCAGGAATATTCGAAAAATTATTAATTCTCTACGGCAAGTAGCTTCACGCAATACAAATTTACAGATGTACAGAGTGTTGAAAAACTGAGGTATATTATCTCACGACACAAAATTTCCACAAATTATCACATAACTGTTCGCTAAAGTTAATACTTTGCTGACGGACGGGTTTAAGTTAAGATCGCGCGTTCAGAAAGAGCTGTATTTATATCATGCAGAAAACTAAAAATATACAGAAACTGCTACTTAACTTTTATTTGTCAAACTTAACATATATAGGAAAAGCGATTTTTCTCTATTTTTTTACTATTTCAGTTTTTATTTAAAGAAAGACGAACTACTACGTCAACCGTCCCCAGCTTTTGTTTTTGGAAACACGTATGTACTACTACGTCATCCATCAAATTGTTAATATTATACTAGTGACTGTAATTTCACATGTAACAGCTATCTATAAGTTGACTGCTGATTTTGTGTATTTACTGCGTACACAATTATTTGAAAATCCGTGCATAAATTCCCTAAAGTCTAATGAAATTTTCAAATTATCTGGAACTTGAGCGAATCGTTGGGAAGATAAATGTAAATCCATTTTATTTCGTTTTGTACAAGTTACTTCATAAAAATCTGAGTGTACTTTGACAAAGAAAAATGTAAATCGTAAAAAAGAGTTAATCAATATAATACAAATGAGTTTAATGTCACGGAAAGTTACGTCTAAAAGATTTTACAGTCGGACAGAAGAAAGGTGAATCGTAAAGAAACAGGGGCACTTAATCAAAATAAGAAACGGCGGCGTCGCGTTTCTCGTGCTCCTGCAAGAATTCCAAGGCCGTTTCGCGGGATAAAATTCGCGGTTTTGCGAGCGCTGAACGTTTCTCGCGTTAACGTCCAACGATTTATTATCACGCGACTGTGCGCCGCAAGCTCTCGGTGTTTCTGTTTCCGCTCGAAGCAGAAAATAATGCCTTACCTGACCGAAGTTTCCTTGGCCAAGAACCGTCTGTAACCTAAGCTTATCTCTAGGAAACTCCCATCTGGATTCCTGCGACGACGGGGGCGGAGGTTTCTCCGCTTCGTGACACTGCGCGCGGGAACAGAAAAAGGCGTTATTGAGTCGCTGAACGGTAATTATTCAAAAATGCCTGACGAATAAATCTCTGGAAAGGAGCTGAGGGATCCCTTTGATATTCACCGCGCGATGAAAATACGTACGCAATTGCATTTGTTAACAGAAACGTACCGAAATAATGCTTCTGATGTTGACGGAAAATTGTCATATCGTTTAATTTTTATCTAAAAAAATCGTTGATCAACCTTCGATTTTAAGAATTTAATCATACATAAATCTTTGAAGGGGGTTGGTGCTTATGTGAAAACTAGGGCAATGGCAATTTTAAACATGTTTCTCATGAAAACATGATTTTCTATAGGTTGGTTTCAAGCGATTTTAAAAAAATATATCTACAAAGGAATTCACTGCGGTTGAATGAACAGACAAAGTGTATGTTCCTTTTGTAAGATACTGTAATTTTTCATAGATGATCAGAAAAGTGCCATTTATAGGAATTACAGGATTGTGTTTCTGGTGCAGTTTAGATAGTTACTGAAACATTTATTTTTGCTAAGAATAGTGTGGTCGTGAATTCACGAGCTAAGTGTTTACAAGTTCAGTATAGAATTTTACGTACACAGAAACTAAAACTGATCTGAGCTCGAGTGAGGAATTGTTTCGGTTCTTTATGTAATTGCTCGGTTAGAGATGCAATCGCGACGTCTAGATAGGTTCCATGATAAAACCGTAATTAGTGGTCGATGTTAGACTTCAAGTACAGCTGATTTGTACACTATTAACTATGCGACTATTTGCTTTTACGATCGATCTGCACACGCGTTCAGTTCGAAAGTTAAAGTACAAAATAGCATGATTACTTTCGAGTTATACTATACAGTAAAACGCGTTTCAAAGGGAAAAATAATTAATACGTTACAACGAGAAGATATATAAATGGCTAAAACAAGAATATTTTTTTACAAAACTGAATCATGAAGTCGACAGGAACGCGGACAATGCTCGGGTGATTTCAACGCGTGGTACCGTGTCACTGCATGCGACAACATTAATGAATCATCCACAAATACACGAATAATCTTTCTGTTGCTACATTTATCAATCACATCACTGTAATTATATTACATAAACTACATATTTCGTCAAGTTTATATAATTCTCAGTATTAAAATCACGTTAGTATACTTACATGAAAAGAAACTACTGTCCTCCATCAAATAATAGTAATGATAAATTAATGACTCAACGAAACACGAAATAATTCATAATCTGTGAACGATTATCAAAGTTGTAACGATAGAATCCATTGCGATCAAACGATTGAACAATATACAGAATTAAAATCACGAAACATTCGATAATCCACAGTTAAAGTGACAACTCACCAAGTGTTGTATCCTCGGCAGTTTCGTGATCGCCTTCTCGATGGACGTTTTAAAGTCACCGTTTTCAAGGTTCAGCGCGTCCTTCCGGCAGCTGATCTCCGACGATGTGTCCGATTCCTCGAGCACCTGCCGGAAAAATAACATCATTATGCAAAATTAACGTAAAAACAGCAACTGTTTATTGCCCCCACGGCTCGAGCAATATCATGACTTCTGTCGACGATTTTCGCGTCTCGTAAAATTACCTGTCGCCAATTATCAGGCAGCGACGCTTTATCCGACCTCTCGTTTAGTCGATTATACACCTATCGACAGGCGTCTTATCGTAATTCCACGGCGAAAAAAGAATTCGTCCCGACACGCCGTCCAACACGAATTCTCGCGAGATAACACCATGCACGGTGAACTTGGAAATATGCAAAACAGCCAGCAAATATCGCGGCGGTTGATTAAAAAAAAAAACAAACGGCATTGACGCAAATATGAGAAGAAATGTATGCGAATGTTTGTTTTTTTACTTGGAAACGTACACGTAAAGAAGTCGTGTGGTCCGTTTAAACGTGGCGCACGCTTCGTTTGCGCTTCTGTACGAAACTCGCCTGCTGACATCAGGGAATGAAGATTAATTCGCAATTATCGACGTAAATAACACTCAAGCGGAACGTATACATTGGATTGGTTTCACGTTCATAATCAAACAGAAGACAAATTGATGCCAGTATTAATTTCTACTTAAAATATTCTGCTTGTATTAAACTGATTTATTGGTAATTTTAAATACTTGCTACTTTAACACGTTGACTGCCATGTAACCTGAATTCAGGTGAAACGTAAGGTTTCTAATTGAACGTGTCACCTGTGTATGAGTGACGGTCATATTGGCTGATCACGAATGATCGAAGTAGGTATTTAGAAGGATAGTCAACAGTGTATAGTAGTACTAGTAAAATCTTACAGAAATAATATGATAATGTATTATAAACAGTTTAATTAAAAAAATTATTTTGAACGTATAGATGTGAAACATGGCACACGATTAAGGTTGCTCAGGACAAGTTGGACAACATGTTGTTGTTTACTGCAATGAATAACTCAATTGGATTATGTTAATTGAAGAAATCTTTTTCTCGACTTTGTGACTCATTTGAGCAAACTAATCTGAAAGAATATAACACTTAGGGTCTACATGAAATCCAGTCAAAATGACTTTCACATTTAGGGTCGATAATATTCGACAGTTTTCCTGGAATTTCGGCTGATTGGCAAATTAGTTTGAATTTGTACAGACCCTTCGTGTACTTGTAGTACAGATCACTGATTAAATGTCGACCAAACTTGTTGCATCTAGCTATGAGGACATTGTTTTGATTGTTTGATTGCTCACAACAGCCATGGTCTAATTATATTTTCGACAAATTTCTAGTGGTAGTCAACGTGTTAATTAATCTATTAGATTCGTCAGGCTTCGAATGTAATGTTTTGGAGGTAATATTGAAGATGAATAAAGCTACGTGTTTAATCGATATCTTTAAAAATTAGATCGTTCGTGCATGGTTTTTTTTAATTTCAAATTAAAACACGTAAGCACATTCCATGTCTTATGGAGCCCCGAAACGGGTTTGCCGACTGTCTATTTATTTGGCCCTTACACCTCTTCATTCTTCCCCACCCCCCCTTCTTCTCCCTTCACCCGTTTCTTTTTCATGTGACCCTTTGTACCACCGTGCAAGTTTACACCCGTGAATGTCCAGTTAACTTTGAATTTATGTTCCCCGATTTTTATGGTCGCGTTGCGCTAAAAATATTCGACTTGTCCCAAATACTTCTACAAATCAATGGACATAACCTCGAACACGGGGAAGATCTACGAACGCATTTCCATAAGTAAAACTGACATTGATGCGCGTGAAACATCGCCAGTCATATCTTATTCGATCATTCCTGTCAACAAAGTAGGAACACGATAATCTTCTCCGATACTTTCTTCGAGATTTTTCCAGTGCTTGGAACAGTTTCGACAATGACTATTTCAAACTATTACATAAAAATTCCGACCAAAACAATTATGAAGAACCTTTATTCCGAATAACTGTTACGAAAAACCTAAATTTCAGACTACATCAGTTTCAGTTAAGGTTCTTATATCAACTCCCATAACAGTTCTATAACCGTTAATTTTTAGACTCTACATAAGTTTCAAAACGGTCACAGAACCGATTCTCGTAACGATTGTACAGAAGTCTACAGTGAATGAAATCACAACACATTGCAGTTTTGAATTACTATGTACAAGCAGAATTTTTATAAAATTATTACGAATAAGGAAATATACATATATGTACAAACTGTATATATACAATTATTAACTGTTACATACATACAATTAGTAACTGAAATTGATGTAGTCTGAAATTTAGGCTGTTCATAACAGTTATTCAGAATAAAGGTTCGTCATAACTGTTTCGAAAACCTAAATCGATATCATAAGTTTCCAACCCTGGATTTTCTATAGGTGATACCAGAGATGGGCAAACTCATTATCTAGATAAAAAGTTTCGAATAACGAATAAAAGATAAAAAAGATATTTTGTCATTTTTAATTGTTTAAACGTGAAAATTTCAATTTTTATAATAAAATAATACTTCTTTATGAATGAATCGACATTTGTTGAACAATTATTTAATCTCATTAACTGCTGCTTTTCACTGTGTATTATTCGAATAAAATTCTGCCCTACTCTGGGTGATACCTGTAGATTGATTTCGATGTTTCTCCAGAAAATGGCGTTCATCGAGTATCCTCTCCGCGAGACGCGCAATTAAACGCTTATCGGGAACAATGCCGCGAACGATCTTCGCGTTATATAATTCCGTATGTATTTATTTTCTCATTACACCGAGGAGCATTTATACTGTCCAATAGGCCTAACGATGGAACGCCATCCCGCTGAATGGAAGACACCGGGTAATCCTTTTCATACAATGAACCTGGCGATCATAATTGTTGATTGAACGATCACCACGTGGTGAGTCATTGACGAACCTTCACGAATCGTTGAGGATTCTTCGACAACCGAGTTACGGCGTTCCCTCGTGCTCGGTTCAGGGACGCGGTCGATTTTTTATAAAGTCACACACACACACACACACACACACACACACACACACACACACACACACACACACACACATCGCGTTACGATCCGGTTTATTAATACTATGTACGTGAATGGTTTGTGAATTTTCACACTAGCCTAAAAGATCGTTAAAGACGTATTTATAGACGTTGGACATGAATTATTGCTAGATGTTCTTTAAAATTCTGAATATATTAATAATATGAATACAAAAACATGGATATGAGAAGTTGACGGTGGAAATTTGTTAATTGATTTGATAGTCCTTTGTCAAATTGTACACGTTTGTTCTCACGCTTGTGTAAATAATATGTAAAATAGAAAATTGAATAATTGAATAACATATTGCTGGTATTATTACTTTGGCATGTGTCAAATTCGATTGGTGATCCCTCATATTAATATATTGTTTTATTTTCTATTCAAATTCTGTATGAGGATTACAAGAAAATATTGCGTATTCATGATTTTAGTTTCTTAAGTCGTGATTTCTATTTCGTCGTGACTTAGTCTCTCGTCATCGTTCTACGAACGATTGGACTCTTCTGATGTTAAAGAAAAATAATAGAAAAAAGGCTGAGCGTCCGCTTAATGCTAATTTAAACAAAACGAACATTAAACACTGAGCATCCATAACTAATTATTATGAAAGATAATATATAGATAAAATAACAGGTAACTGTCATATCTTTTCCCACTTCAAAATACAAAAGTTAATTCCACAGTAACAAATACATCAATGTGTATTTAAACTTCATAATTGATACAAACAGTGGACCCACATCCTTTTCCCATGTGCTCTTTAATTTTTAAGACATTACAGTATTCTATCAAAATATTTTGTATGCTACCAGCCAGTATATGCTAGCAGCCTTTATTTTTTATGCTGGTAGCCAGATTTTTTATAAGATTCTCACACAGATAGTTATCTAAAATCGCCCACTTTCGCAATAGTGCTGTAAAAAAATCTTGAAGATACTATTAACGCAAAATTTTGAAATTAAAGTACTTTTCTTAATGTGGTACGTTAAAAAAAATAGACATACCTAATGAATTATACATATAAAAATGTATATACTTTCTATCTATTTTAGAATTTGATGAAACCCTGAATAGTCTGAACAAGTTTCTGTTTGGATCCAGTCCGTGTATATTACCCCATAAATATCTGTATTTGCATGAACGTCCGCAATTTAGTCATTAACAATACTGTTTCTACGAAGAGACTTTAAACTCAGCTGACAATATCAGTAAAGACGTGAGAGAATTTGATTAACTTCAATTTCCAAGAAAATATTGGTATATTTGAAATTTTACTTCTGCATCAACCAATTATGGTATTTTCTCCAGATGTTACAATACTTTCTCAATACGTTTCTTTCAAGATACAAGTGAATATTTGAAATGAACATATTTCCAGAGAGTATATAGATATATTAAAAAATTTTGTATGAAGCACCTACTTTTATATTTATCGATAATAGTATTTTCTCCAGATATCACAATATTCCATAAGGATGTCTTATGTTCTACCCTTGCTCCCAGTATCTCTTCAAAACTCAAAAACTACTACACTCCAAAAAAGTAATCTCCCTCAAATTCAACGGGCACGTTAAAAGAAACGTTTCCAAAAAATACGAAAAGATTATCAATCGCGAACCAACTAAGCCGAGGCTACTCGAACAAATGTCCAGTTACCGCGAGCTAGGCAATGTCACCATGCACGCCGGAATTCCAAAACGCCATTAACAAGTCTTCAAAGCACCTACTTCCTAACCAGTCACGGCCATTTCCATCAGGAGAAGCGATCTTTCATTACGCTTCATTCAACAGGCCCCGTAAGAGGGCGGGGGGAAAGCCCCCCTCTGATAGATCTCCGGGAATGCACGCTAACACGAAGTTAGCGCCGCCGTCGGCCAGTCTACCCCGCGATATCCCAGTCCAATTAATTTCTCATGCACGAAACCGCTTCCACCGGGGGCGGCCCCCGCTTTGTTGGCTAATCATCGAACTGTTCAACCTGACGCTACAAACGACGTGGTCCATTCCGCGGGCCGCGAGAGAGATTACAAGAAAGGCACACACCACCACCGGTTAATGGCCGGATGATAAATGCTCCCGTGGGGATGCCCGTTGATAATCCGCCGGTCGCGTAACGGTACATAAGTGGCACCACCATACGACCCGCGGTTTCGATTTAGCGATCATCGGCCAGATACTACGGGGCGAGATCGTAAATCATACATATGTTTTTGCCAGGGGGAGAGAGAGAAGAACGTTCTCGGTCAGCAGGGCCGAAAGGAAATCCAGACGGTGGAATCGCGGCCAATAAAAATGAAAGGTTCAACGGTTCAAGGATAAACATTTCGACCGTTCTTCCTTCTACGCTCGGTCGGGAGTATATTATTCGATGTGATTCATTCGATCGATCCCTGTCGTCTTCTATATTGCAATTCCTCGACTTCGTGGAAATATTTTGCTCGTTTTTGTTCCGCTGATCCGCTTGACCTAGAATCTGAAACGTAACCTGGTCGTATTTCGGAAATGGGGGAACGTGGATTGTTCATGTGAAATGGTTATTTTACGCTGGCTGCACTTTGTAATGTGACTGGGGTTCAATGATACTTGATTGTATAGTTTCCTTCTATTTATATTTTTGTAATAATGACAGTGAAATATATCTGTATTATTTAACCATCGAATGGTAAGATGGGTTTTAAGGTCGTACTTGGTAAGGTGGGGTCGGATCGGACCCGAAGTCTTTTTCGATATTTTCAGACGGGTAAAAGCAAGTTATTACCTTGAAATTGTATATTTGCTTTTTTATGTAATAAGGAATAATAATTCAGTAATATGTATGGCATATAATAATGTAAGTATTAAACGTTTACTAAATAATAAAAAGTATTTTAAAATGAAAATAATAAAATATTAAAGAATAGAGTGAACACAGCACAAGGGGAACTATAACTTGGGTGGAATACGACCCGGACCTTCTCATTAGACGGTTAATATGGAGTTCACGGAAGGGAGAAGTATAATAGAAACTGTAATGGAAAAGATTCAATGAAAGAAGTACCTACTCACTGTTAAATCGAAACCTGATTTATTTACAGCTAACGGAAAAAAGGCTCGAAGATAAATATTAAATTGTAATCTGAAGAAATCACTGAGAATTTATCGTACATTCCAATCTGTTCGGAACAAGCATAATATACTTCTATTTCCGTGAGTATTTAATTAATTTTTTCCAATGAGAACTGTTGGTAAACAGAAGAGACACAAGAGAATCGTCAAAACAAAATTCTGACTTTGACCTTTCGATCGACCTAGCAATTACTCACTAAATTTCAACTGAGGATCGCACACAAACAATTCCAGTCATTTATAATGAATTAAGAAAGAAAACAGTTACCCACTCGTGCGTCCTGACAGGAAACAAAAATATATCATAGGCAACAAGGTAAATTTAAACAAAATTTCACCACGACGGAGACTTCGTACAACGGGAGCAAGAAGAGCAACAACAAAGCCTGGAGAAAAGAGGATACATACATGTGTCAATGTAGCGGTCGAAAAGCGAGCAGCAGGTCACTGACACCAACCTTATTCCTACACCTCCACAAACTTTCACGCGTGGAGTCTGGCCACCGAACCAGCACCGAAGATCACAACGACCACTTTCATTCCAACGACCTATATTATATATGCATACGTGGACGAAATACTTTCTACCGTTATGACCAGTCTCCCCTACCCCATGACCCGAATCCAGTCACACTCACCTTACGATTCCTAAGTATCAGTCTTCTGAGAATTAGACCAACGCCGACGGCGATTGGGAACACGACGAGGGTCGCCAAGATGTAGCTGACCACGGCGACCGTCTCCTGGGAGGCGATGGCATCGCCGTCGTGTCGCTTCGATATCACTTCACTGACATTCACCGACTCCCTGGGACTGACCGATATCAGACCGGTCTCGAAGAACGTCCGGTTCAGTTCGTTCGGGTACACGGAAACGTTGTATTCCGGTAGTATCGCCGGATGATACACCGGCCTGTGTCTGGTCCTGTTGCTCCCGTTCGTGGACCCTCTGCCTGGACCCGTCGGCGGAACATGGGTGGACGTTTCACGATTCTCATCGTGCTTATCCTTTCTGGTAGACTCTGACGGGCGTGTGGTGACGTCGTTCGCGGAACTTTTCGTCGTAACCGTGTCGTTAACTTTCTCGGTCGTTCTGGAAATCTCTGGTTTCGAGTCCACCGGAAGCTCGACTCGTCGTTCCGTGCCGCGGGAGAACGAGTTCACCTGGCCGGTACTGCCGTTGAATATGTCCGAGGTGTTGTACAGCTGCATTATAGGCAGAACGTCGTCTTTGTCCTTCGATTTGTCGGACAGGTTACGCGCCCTAACTTCCGGCGATCTTTCCCCGGATACGCGTTTCCGGGGGTCTACCGTGGTGGTAGCTGGTGACTTAGCGGTCATCGAAGCGGACATTGTACTTTGGTCCTGCGGTATCGTTGATATTTCGATTTGGACCGCGGTCGTCGGTGTGGTGGGTGTTTCTGTGGTGATCGACGTCGCGGTGACGTTCTTCGATCGGTACATCTTTTGGATCTCGGACGGATCCAGATTCGACATACCGAAAGGTTTATCCGGTTCGGTCGTTTTGACGTCCGTCGTCTGGCTCACGGACTCCGTCGGGCTCACGGTGAAAGTCTCCTTCTCGAGTTGCGCACGAGCCGTTTCCGTGATTATTCTGGGTGTAACTGGAAAAACTGGCGCCGGCATTGGCGTGTTAGCGGTGGTGGTGGTGGTCGGTGTCGTTTCTTTGGGCTCGAGCGTTTCGTCGGCTACTGTCGCGGTCACTGTCACGGTCGACGAACTGCTTCCGGCCACGGTACTGTTCTCCGCATTCTTCGCGCTGTCCCCAACGGAGAACGCGTAGCTACCGGCCGTGGGCACACTTTCATTTTCACCGCGCGACCCGTACGATTTGTCTTTGGTATCGATCTGTACGTATCCACCGGTCGAAGTAATCGTCGGTTCCGTTGAATTGCTCCATTCCTCCTCGGTGGCGTTGATCACACGGGGTGTAGTCACATCGGCCACCTCGGTGGTGCTCGGCAATTGTCTCTGTTCCGTCATCGCGTCACTCTCACCCGTCATATTTTCCGAGTGGATACCCACGATTGTCCGATTCAATACGACCTCACGAAACCCACGTCCTTCCACCGCATCCTCTACGCTTCTCTCGATCCCTGAACTATTCGTCTTCGCGGCGACGACCGATGGTCCATTCACCGGGCGATCGTTAAAATGACCCTCCTCCAGAATCTTGCCCCCTTTCACTCTCCTACCGGGCCCAACTGGTTGGCCATTTGTCAGCCTTCGTCTCTTCGCGATCGTAGGACCCACCAGCGCGTCCTCCTCACCGTTCACGCCGCCGATACGTTGATTAAGCACCGCACTCGCGGACTTCCTGAGGAACCTTCTGTCACCGATACCCTCCAAGTCCGTGTTCCGTGCTTTAGTGTGATTCCATCGGACCGCACCTCTGCTACTGCTCGTCACCTCTGTTGCTTTGCTCTTGTTTACGATCAGCTGCTGTTGCAGCGCGGCGGTACTGTTGACCGTCCGTTCCTCCGGCTGAGCCGCGACTGTAACGACTTTCTTCTGCGTTTCCCCCACCAGAATACCAACAGCGGACGGTACACCAGCTGCGACTGCTTCGACGGTCGTGCCGGCACTGAGTTCCGCCGGCGCTCGGGCCGCCTCTATACCACTACCGGCACGAGGAAGCAGAAGAAGAGACTGCTGCTGTGGCGGCGACGGCGGCTGACGCCGCACCGCCGATCCGGTCGTTATCTCGGTCGTACCGGTGCCCCGCTCTGGGCCTCCTTGTCCCTCCTCGTTGCTTAGCCCAGGTCCGGTGTAGTTGCGCAATAGCCGCGTCACGTTCGTTATCGTGTAAGCGTACACGTGCTGCTGCTGTTGTTCTTGATGTCGATGCTGCTCCCGATCCCGATTCCCCTCCCCGTCACCCTTGTCCTTCTCCGTTCGATGCTTCTGTTCCCGATGCCGAGGCTTGGACCTCGTGGCCACCACCTCGATCGTGGCCGTGCTCGCGTCGTCGTTCGTGGTCGACACGACGGTTGGAGCCGGCGAACCACTCGCGGTGGGAACATCGCCGGAAGCGACGCTTCGTACCCGTTCCTCGGTGGAATCGACCGGTTTAACGGTATACCTCTCCGCCGCGTCGGTGCCGATCGCAAAACTCTCCTCCTCCAGGCTTCCCTCGGTTACGATTATCCTCAGGGTCGATGTTTCCGGCGACGTCCAAACGATACGAAACGGTTCCGTTGTCGAACGATCGATCTTGTCCCGCGACGTCGAGGTTTCGATGTTGTTGCTCTCGCGTGCGCGTGGTTGCTCGGACATGGTTGAATCGGTCTTTCGGGAAAAATCGAAGTTATTCGTATCGTAGACGTCGATCCTTCTTATCCTGTGTTCCGTGTGCTCCCCGTACATCTCTGTGTCCGACAATGTCGACGATGTGTCGTCGAACCCCGTGGGATCGATCTGACGTGCCTCTTTGCGTGTACCTTTTGTGTTCTCCAGATTCACGGACGAATTCTCGGTCTTCCGTCGTCGAGCGGTACTCGTCGCTTTCCCCTGTTCCACTCCGTTCAAATCGTCCGAGATATCCGTAGGACGATCCCTAAAACTGATTTCACTTTCCGCGGGCGGGTTGTACGGGTTCGCGGAAACAGGCTGCCGCGACGGTATCTGGGTCGAGTTGGTCGCATTCCTCGTTTCAGCGGGCACGTGGGTAGCTACACTTCCTCTCTCGTGCCGCAGCTGGTCCTGGGTGGCAGCGTGAGCGGACTGGTTGTCGTCGCGAAACTGATCGTCGTCTGTTTTCACGTACGTATCCGTGGTATTTCTGACGGCCTCCTTCGTCGCAATAACGTTCGAGACGATGATCGTGGGATCCGTCGGTCTGGGCTTCCTGTAGTAAACCCCGTTCTCTGGGCTTCTGAACGCGTTCTTGATCTTCGATACCTTGTTCTTCTCGACGATCTGCTTCTCCACCGCGATATTCATCTCCTCGTTTATGATCTCTTCCAGTTGAGGCACTGGCACCGGTGTTGTGGTACGTTTCATCGAATATCGTCTTCTAGAGCTGGACGCGATCGGCACGGTCGGAGTTGCTTCCACCGAGTTGTTCCCAGTGCTGTTTTGTGTCTCTGGCTGGATCTTCTGGCCAAAGTAAAGGAACTGCGACATATCCTCCACTGGTATGTTACTCTCGACCGGCCTGAAGTAATTGTACAGGGACTCGGGCATCGAGACGATGTTCTTTTTACGGGTCTCCGTATCCGGAGCTTTCAAACCGCTCGCGGGCAGAGATGAAGTCGTCGGGGAGGTGGACGGAGGCGAGGAGGAATTTCTATGGCCGATCGAGTAATTGCTTCTCGAGTTACCGAAGGAGGCCGGTTTATCCTCGATGCTTGACGGGACGACTATGCTCTCGTTGCTCGGTTTTCTTGGGATTTGTTGCTCGGCCACCACCTGCCCGCTTTCTGGCTCCTTCGAGACGAATTCGATGTCCACGTCGTCGTCGGATGGATCGGTAGCGATGATCTTGCTAGACGATTCCGACGGTTCCACCACGATAGGGAGCTCCGTTTTCTCATCGGTCGACGATGTCACGTACATACCGTGCTTGGTTTCCTGCGCCTCCAACACGTCCGACGAATCCTTCAGACCGACATCAGCCGGTCTTGGTGCACGGCTCAGATTCCGTGTTTCGATTGGCCGCTGGCTCAAGATCTGTCGTCTTCTCGCGGCGAGGATGCTGCGAAGAGCTTGCTCCCTCTTCGCCTTCGAGGACGGTAGCTCGGTTTGAAGGAACATGCGAGCCTGGCGATGATCGCCGACCGGGGAATCTGAAAGCAAATATTTGAGAAGGTAAGTCGATGCCGCTGGTCTCACGACGAATAAAAATAACGGTCCGTCGTAGTCTCGTTGAATAAGCATTTCGAGTAAAGTAAACAGTGGTCCACTGAACCCGATGCAGCTAGTACCTATGTACCATTCGTGAATCTAACGAAATAGTATTAATTGAAGAGTACGGTGTGTATGACAGTGCTGCATTAAATAGATTTATTAAAATAACGTTCATGTTAAAGAAAAAAAGTCCAGAGTTTGATTCGGTTAAGACGGTCAAATGTTTGTGTCGAATTGTCCACGAACATAGGTTTATTATTAGGTGCATCAGTAATTTGATCCACTATATTCTGCCAACTTCAATGCTTATTTTCGAGGAAATCAGTAATACTTGTCCTTATTCGCATATGTTTGCCGTTATTTTGAAAGAAGAGGGTAGAAGGATGTTTTGAATTTAAATGTATTACTAATTTATTAAAAAGACATATTGAATTAATTACTGGTATATCTACTATCATGAATAAAAGTGTTTCACAGTTATTTGATTTATTGATCAGTTTACATTATAATTTCGGTAAAGACATTTAATTACACATTGACAGTTATCCTTACCCAATCGTTCAGGTAGCTTATCATTCTGTTCTTTATATCGTGATGCAATCATTTCAGTAAAATTAAGTTAAAGTAACTGGAAAGTGATTTTAAATGACGAATAAAGCCTAGTACTTTATCGAGTTCTGTACCAGTGCGACGATTGCGATGAGAATCATTCTACGCTTGCTTTAAAGTGCCTCTTTCGAAGAACCCGATCCGAGTATATGATTTACCGTAATTACAACGAGACAATGGTGTTAATCATTCGATATTTCTTGAAACGATGTCGTTATTCTGCCGCGACGATTACCGAGCCTAATCGGCTTGAATGTGTTTACATAGAATTATAGAGCAATAACGGCGCGCGTCTGGCGGCGCGTTCAGTGATCTCGATGTGAATAATTGGCCCCGCGGTAGTGCACCGCCATGTAATCACGACACGCAATTCCGTTTCGTTCCGGTACTATTCGTAAAGGGAAAGTTTCGGTAATGTAAACGGATCTGTAACAATGCATCGAGAAACGTTGCAATGGATAATCGTTACATCAACTCGAGCTATTGATACAATTTTTCTTGGCATCACCGCAAATGAATACCTTGTTTTCAAAGCACAGCACATGCTTCGGATCAATACACTGCCAACGGTAAAGTTAAAACGTAAAATTTAGACAATCTGAGATGACCACTTGACTACTTTTAAACATTTAAATCTCGAATGATCCACACACTGATCGTGGTTACAGCGTCGTCGTTACAATATTATTAATTCGATATTTCCCATCCCAATGTCTGTCGTTTCCTGTATATAAATGTTCTGTTACTATAAATATTAAAATCGACAATTCAGGCAGAGATTCCTATACACAATCTCACAAAAAAAAAAAAAAAATGGGTTAATCTTCTCCGGCCGTTAACCAGTTCCTTCACAAAAGACTGCGTCCAGTCACGAGAATCACCGCCAAAAACGGGTTCATCGTTCCGATTATAGATTCAAATTGCCACGATTAACGGCTAATTACCGAGGAAACGTATCATCGCGGTGATTTACATGGGATTCCGTTTAAATTACACGGTTCGTTCGCGAGCTGAAGGGATTAAACAGAACGTGAATGAGAACGAATTCACGAGAGGAGACAGCCTCCTTAAACGAACGGGACGATGCGACGTTCATCGGGATCGCGGATGACTGGAGGAGAGTGGTCTCTTGTCACTTCTTTTTTTTTTGCTTTCTCTCTTTCTCTCTCTCTCTCTCTCTCTCTCTCTCTCTCTCTCTCCTCTTTCCAGGGTTCGAGAGACCCTGTGTACCGTTACTTCACGGTTCCGTACGCGACGAATGTTTGTTTCTTTGAGCCTGTTCTCTCTTCTCTCTTCTCCACCGACGTTCGGCTCCGTCATGTTAGTGAAATTCTTTGGAGTCACGGCCCGATTAAAATCGCGCGTCAAATTCGAGCGTGGAGGACGCGCGACCGATTTCGTGCACCGTTAGAATCGATCAGCGCTACATGTAAATGTGGACTTGTGACTAATCGGTGAACACCTAGCTGGTTATACGTAATTATACAAAGGCGTGTTTCGATGGAACGGTGTCCTTTATTAATTGGAGTGTAAAACTACATCATTGAAAAGTATGTCATAATTACAGATTCTGAACTGGTTTCACAAACATGCCGACAAAATTCATTGAAAAGTGGAGTCTTGAAATGTTACGTGCACGAGAGTCAAATTGACAATGAATAGATCCGAAGTGACATGAAGTTAAAGTTCAAAGTTATTAGAGCGTTACTTTGGTTCATTGCAAATATTTCATAGTGGACAATGTGGATGGAGGTATTGTACAAAGGATTTTATAAATAGACTACAGATTTTATGCATTTGTATGGTACTCCGATCGTCGAAGGTTCAGTGTAGTAAAAAGTTTCAGAAATTTCATTCGTGCTGGCTTTTTATTTGGAACCTACTGAAACCTTTAACAGCGCAAATCAATTTTTCTCTGCATCAAGTTTCGAGAAATTAATCAATACAATTTTATATTTGCATAAACATCCACAGTCTGTTTACAAATGATCATACACATATGTATAGTATTAATTATAGTTCTGTTCCATCATTAATAAAAATAAACGGAGCTTCACTATCAATTTCTCTATAATGTAATATTTTAATACAATTTCTACGTGGATTAAAAAAATTAAAATTTCTTGGGCAATACAGGACCCATTAATTAAGAATATGACGACAGAGTAAAAAAATCGACAATAAGAGGTATGTAACAGATAAACAGAAGGCTCCTAGACAAAAGAGCAGCGACATGGTTTCGATTTTAACTTATCAATGCTGCGCGACACCAGCGATTATCCGTACAGGCGATCAACGTCAGGACACACGGACGGTTGGCGAGTTACGAGAAAAGAATTTGGTTGATCGAGTACCTGGGTCTTGGGTCAAGTCAACCCGTGCATGTAGACAAGGGGATGGGACTTTTGCGAGGAGAAAGAGAAAGGATCGGATGGTACCGTTAGCAGCATCGGGACGCAAGGCCCGTTGATCGTACTTGAACTTCCGATCAGATACTGACCAGGATTTTTAAGAGGCAATTGGCTCGTCTGGACCCTTCTCAGTTTGAGGATGCTAAAAACTACGAAAACAATTGGATTGCTAATATTATGGCGAATATTGGTGTTTTAGACTTTTCTGAATTAGTGTCTTCACATGATCCACTTATGAGCAGATTCCGAAATTTGAACATTCTAACAAAACCCAAATGAGGAGGGGAGGCCCTACTCAGTTGACTAATATAAAAAATTATCAATCACAATTGGCCTGGCAATGAGAAGAAGGCATATTTGTGTTTCGGGGGACCACGGATTAGCGTCTGCATATAGTCCATTATTAATTCCACATTGTTAAGAAGGAGGTTTTATGCTATAAGTTCCTAGAATTGAAGTCTTCTGATAGGTTTCAAATGAGGAAAAAATAGATAATTCTTAATTCGACAATCGATGTCTTTTCCTGTGTTTATTCTTTCGAATTAAATCCATTTTTATTTAATATTTATTGTTGGAAATTACAAATCTATAAGAGTGGGGATTGAAATGAATGTACACTGTACTCATAAAATACTATAATATGGGTACAATTTATATTAGAATATAAAGAATAGAAACTGGCTGCATCTTCTTCTACTTTAATTTTCTGATATACATATACATATATCTGCATAAATTCAACCCCTTTATTCCTTCAATAAATACTGTATATTCCTAAATTGTACATACAATAAATTTTCTCAATCTGAAAATTCTGAACTCCTATTAGTTTAAAATACTTCAAAATAAAAACGATTCCATTTAAGGCCAGAAATACGACAAAAAATATTTTATACATATGTCATTAGAATTATACTTCGCAGACTAATTTTGAAAAATATTCTGCACGAATACTGAACCCTTAAGTCTCAAAGAATACAAATATAATTAGTACGAGAAAAAGATGATAATTGCGAGGGCTAAAGAAATTGTTACGGGCCAGGATCAAGTGATCTATTTTATTTTTTAGATTTCCTGTGAGTCCCTGCAATTTGTATACACTTACTCCCAAACGTATACGATTATACTTATGATAATTATTGAATTTCACGCGTTTACCGTAACGTACACGAGCGGTCGTACACACTGTAACAGTTTCGAAGAAGGGAAGTAGGGTCACCCTTCGGCGAGCCACCGAAGCTAACGGTCTCCTTCAATAAAGAAAGGATACGGCCGAAGTCAAGTGTCAAGGTCCCAGGTCAAACCACTCTATAAAGATAGACGAGGCGAGATCTCTATCTCGGTGCCCGATACGACAAAGAGAAAAGAGGAAAGGGTGTGATAACACTATAGCGGTATCTCAAGGTAATTACACGGTACCGGTTTCCTTATAAGCATTCAGAAATAGAAGAAGTCTGCGGCTGCTCGCTGCACAGATAATCCCTCCCCGAAGGATCGCTACTATTTTTTTCGCGAGTTTGCTTGCCAACCGAAGATGATACACGAGGATGGCTCTTCTATCAAATATTCCGTGTAATAATACATAAATAAAATAAAAACACTAATATCTCTGACCAGTTATCGATAAAAGAGATTTTTGTAACGAACAGTAAATGATTAATCCTCGATCAACCTTGAAGATATAACTTTGTTTGAAGAGGGTAAACGTTTTTCGCTTGGAGTGATTAAGTATAAACAGTTCCTTGCAGATTTACCGATAACATCTGACGATGTAAGAGCAAAGTTACCTTGAGAATATTCCATATTGCCAGCGGTACGTGTTCTTTTTAACGAGAAAACAGATCACTATAAAAAATTATCTTTTTATAGAGGATCAGTGTGCAAAGAATTGAGGAAGTCGAAAAATTGAAGTTACATACAAATACGTAGAATCGTATTACAAGTATTCAACGTAGAGATCCTTCCGAGCAGTTATCGAGAATTTACTGTATACACACGGTGCTCACAAAA